TTACCTAAGGAGAAAAATCTTATTTGATGCTAGAACTTCTCAAAACATTTTTATTTTTTATTTTATTTATTTTTGTATGTTAGGAAAGGGTTTACAGGGCGTTCAGGCTTTCACTACTAGATCAGACTCATAGTGATCTGCCTGCTTACAGCCTCCCAAGAGCTGGGATTACAGATGTGAGCCACCATGTCCAGTTTCAATTGTGCCGGGGGGGTGGGGCAGCACGCCAGGCCCAGGGATCGAACCTCCGGCCCTTGCGCCTGCTTGCAGGTGTTTTAATCCATTGAGCTATTTGGCCAGCTCTCAAAACATTTTTAAATATTTCTGTATTAATAAAAAAAAGAACTAGATTTGAGGAACTGCAGATGGCTCCGACTTTAGCAGACAACATTACCTAATAACATTCTTCTGTTTAATTATATTTATTGTTCATTTTTCTTTTAAGTTTTCTTTTTAAATTGTGAAGCATTTAAAATGGAAAAATACAGAGAATAATGTCACAAATACACACGTCACCACTTCCAGTTTTAATAAATACTAATGTTTTGCCATATTTGTTTATGGTTGTGTCAGTCATAATTCAGCCAGAGAGGAAGGAAGCGGAACTAGTTCCTAGGAAGGAGGGGTGTGTCTCTGTGTGTGTGTGTGTGTGTGTGTGTGTGTATGTTTGTATTTGTAACCAGTGAATAAAGTATTACAGAAATCCGATGACACTGTTGTGAGAACTGCTTCAGCAGTTTGTGAGGGAGGCAAGGGGACGATGTGGGGCCCACGGAACTGACCAGCTGTGTCATGCTCCTGTCTGCCACCTGCATGAAGCAACTGCCTTTTATCACATTCTTTTTTTTTTTTTTTTTTTTTGGAACCGGGGATTGAACTCAGACCCTTGCACTTGCAGGGAAGCACTTATTCCACTGAGCCATCTCCCCGGCCCCTCATCACACTCTTAAACAGGTGCCTGGCCAAGGGGTGGAGCCGCTGAAGGAGCCAGAGGAGGGAGGGGCAGCGCAGGCCCAGCGGTGGGCCACACCCGGAGGCCAGTGGGCCGCGGAATGACTATGCATGAAGCCCGGCTCCGCATGCTCCGAGCGGAAGAGCAACAGCTGTGTGTCGCTTTCACTGCCCCGCAATCTCACCTGCAAACCTCGCTTATGACCCGCCTTGGATAAAAGCTTACTAGTCAGCATTGGGCTCTGTAACAGCATGGGGTTTGGTTTTGTTTTTCAAGTCTGGGTCTAGTTGTGTGTTCCAGGTGGCCTTGAACTTGCAGTCTCCTGCCTCAGCCTCCTAAGTGCTGGAATTACAGATACACAGCTTTTTTTTTTTTTTTGTTCCGATATGGGAATTGAACTCAGGGCCTTGTGCTTGCCAGGCAAACACGTATTCTACTGAGCTAATGCTCTGGCCGATACACAACTATATTATATTTATTTTTAGTAATATTCATCTAGCAAACGATAACACATTTTGTCTTTATGCTAATTTACTAGTTAAATTACTTGAATTCATTTAAAGCGAGACTCTGACATGGATATTCAGATGACCAAAGCGGAGTGAGCCCTATAGGTTTTCACAGAGCCCTAAAAATACACTCTTGACTCTCTTGATTGTGCGTGAGCTATTGCTCTTAGCAAATAATCCCTTCTCCTGAGTGTTGTTTTAATTAACTCCCTAGCGACCTTTCACAGCTTTTTCTGATTCCTGCAGGTAGACTGTACCTCTGCTTTCTTTTTGCCCTCGTGACTGCTGGTTCTCCTATACCTCACTATGCTTTCATCACCATCTGACCTGTATTTATAGCTTTGGATGTATTTGTTATCTTCGCTTGACTGCATGTGTCTGCAAGACGGAAGAAAGAATGTCTTAAACATTTTTGTTATCGCCTGAAATGCAGGATATATCGCACTGCAAAGTGCTGGTACCTTGCTAAAAAAATTTTGTTACAGTTAAATGACAGATGGAGGGGTGGTCAGGTGGTCACATTCCCAGCTTATTTGAAAGAGAGAAGCACATGCAGATAAAATATTTTGCCCAAAATCTTAATTAATGTTGAGAACAAAAGCAACATTGCAGGTTTACTGGTTAATTCATGTTCATTTTAACCACACCATTCTTTAAGGAATTAGCTGAAAAAGTACTTGTGATATTCTGCGTGTATACATGTTGTTTGCAGGAAGTGTGTTTCTGTTTCTTTCATACAGTGCGCGGCAGGCCATTAGAAAACTGGAATTGAACTCTTATCTACCCAAGTAATGATACAAAGCAACGTTGTCCCAGTAAATAATACAGTCAACTATTGCACTGACTATTAAGGAGACTGGTCTACAGTAGTTCACTGAAGCCTTTAGAAAGAAGCTGAGGTTCAGCTGAACTTCAAAGTTTGGGTTTGGAGAGGAGAGAGGTCATTCCAGATAGGACAAGCCGCTCTACCCCAGGCCCAGTGTCAGACTTTGTGCACTAATGTTTGGAGAGAACCATCCATACAGTCTGCATCGTACGCACAACCTGGTGGTGGCCTAGACAAGCATCCAGCCAATCCCCAGGACAGGGCAGGCGAGCTAGGCGGGAGTAAGTCAGAAAGGATGTACCATGAGCGTCAGGTTTTATTGGGACAGAGTATGCAGTTCAGAGGGAGTGAATTTTCTTCATTTTCACTAGAGCTGAGGTTCAGGCTCGGGTACGGGCTTACTCGCTCTTCACACCGCATAACAGGTGAAGTTGTGCCCAGGGGATTGAGTAGGCCCACACACAGCTTGAGTGTGGATGAGGTCGCAGTTGGTCCGTGCAAATTTTAGCATTTCTCCATGAATATGTTTTTTTCAGAGTATCATGAGGAGTTTCAGGGACCCTGATCAGGAGACATGGTTGTAGACGGATTAGCATAGGGAAGGGTTTGCTTCATTCAGCTCCACTTGTGCGGAATGTTTAAATTCATTTTAAGTTCTATCCACAGATTATATAGGAACCACCAGTCAGCCAGGTCTCCTAGGAGCCTTTTGTGTTTCCGGGGCACCCACAAGGTGATGGAGGACTCCCGGTTTGTAGGTTTCGGTCCACAGTTGCCTCCATGGCAGGGCAGCAAGGAGGGAAGAAACGATCCGTGGCAGAGCACGCAGGCGGCAGCAAGCACCCTGCCCACTCTCTGTCCCTTTAACTTCTATCTAGGCCCCTCGTCTACTGATTGGTGCCACTGACACCCAGGGCCGGGCTTCTGACTTCAGTAAATCATTCTGGCCATGCCCAGAGCTACACAGACCCAACTAGGGGCTAACACAGATATCATACATCCTTAATCCCAGTACCACACAGCCTCCAAAAAGCCCCACCTGTGAGCACATGAGACTTGACGGGGACATCTAGGCCCAAGCCGTCGCCTCAGCCAGCCACTGAACGCCCCTTTGTGGTAGGTACTGTGCTCACAATCCTGCCTTGGTGATTGAGGCCTTGCTGCTGTATTCAGTAACTCAGCACTAAATGCATAAAAGACAAACAGGAAGGACAGTAGAATCTTTGATGATGCCCCCTCCTTCTATTTCTGCTGAAAAAGGCTGTGGTCCCAAAGTTAGGTGGCTCTCGTTCTCATCCTGGCTTTTGCTATTAGTGTTACACAAACCCTTGAATGAGCCACTTAATTGCCCTGTATCTCATTCATCCTGCTTTGCCGAATGAACATCATACTCCCGTGACTCCACAGTGCTAGCTAGTGTGATGATATAATTTATGGGACACATTATACAAGCTTATAATGGTGTTGGTATAAAATTACTTTTAATACTTCGCTTTCTGAAACTTTCAAAATTTCAATCCCCTAGTACATTTTAGTCACTTTACTAATTATAATTACATAGAAAGGGAGAAGAAGAAGAAAAAAAAAAAAAAAAAAAAAAGCCCCAGCCATCTGTGGTACTTGTTCTCTTTCCCTGGAGGAAGAGCCAGAGAAGATAATGATTTATTTGAGACGTTGTTAGTCCCACTCAGTAGGAGAATGGATGATGGTTTCTTATTGTGGCTTTAAGGCCCATCTGCTGATGGGTGCAATTTCATTAGGCAAAAATATGTGGGTGGAAGTATGCGTGGAAGTGGTAGAGTAATAGAGGAAGAATGAGATAATTTTTTTTTTAAATGTATTTGGTATAGGGTCTCACTACACAGCTCGGTCTCCTAGTGATCCTCCTGTTTACAGCCTCTCCAGTGCTGGGATTACAGGCGTGCACCTCCACGCCTGGACTCGGTCACAGGCTCAGGGTGCCTGGGGGTGGGACAAGCATGTGGTACTAGGATCGATGCCCCCCACATCCCTGCGCTTGCCTAAGCAGGTGCCTGGTCTGCTGAGCTATCTCGCTGGCCCTGAGAGTGTTTTTATTTGCTGGGAGAAAAGGTACAGGATGTGTGAGACAGTCGGAGTCAAAGGGGCAGATGGAGGAAGGCTACCTCCTTGCTCTCTGTGTGAGGGTGCGTCCCCATGACTCATTCACGGCTAAGCTGTCTTTGACTGTCTTTAACCATGTGATCTGTGTATGTGGCTCGGGTGTGGAGGACTTCACGGACCCGTATGTGGAGTTTCGCCTACTTCTTGACCTAATCTCGCAATGCCCACTGCATAGTGTTTATTGTGTAGTGTAATTACTGTCTGCCTACTCTGTCTCCCTCCTGGCCAGCAAAACTGAACATAATCATAGACTTCTAAGGTTTTGTTGAGGCTGGCGTTGCATAGAAGGGTTGTAGGTTTCTGACCTTTCTGTGGCCCTGTATTCTGGTGTGTGTGTGTGTGTGTGTGTGTACACTTGTGCATTACGTGGGCTAGGGAGATTGTGCAGGGCAGGAGAAAGACAGAAAAATGGAAAATGTTTATGTACAGATTGCTAGAAATGAAACTGGTTAATACTGATTAATACTGATAATTCTGATGGCTTTCCTGCTTTATGATTAAAGGAATATATCAGCCCCATTTTTGCATTTTTTAAACTCCTTTCTGTAAATTGTAGTGTTTGCTGAGAATGATGGCCTTCATGACGAAACATGGCCCAGAGGAGAAGACCCTTCGGGACGTTCCCCATTTACGTAAAACATCACATATCCTAGAACAGTTAAGATAAATCTGTGTGCTCTGCACACTCTGCAGGAACTTGGGCTAGTACTGACACACTTGGCACCGTAGAGGCCGTGCTATTATTCTTAGTGGTCCATCTCCACCACTGAATTGTTCCTTTGTCCAGCGTGTAGGCCCTGGGCATGTTTTTAGGGAGCCAAAGACGGATAAACATAAATCTGCTGCACAGAAAGGCACATGGGCTCGAGGCGGTCTAGGCGGAGCTCTGGAGGGGAGCAGAGCAGCCAGAGATGTCGGAGGGCTTGCAGGGAAGGCAGATAGCAAGAAGGCAGGTCTGCCTTTGCATCTTGGCCCATAGGAAAAGCTCAGACATTCACGCATGGCAGGAGGGGGGCCCGCCACGTCAAGGGAGTGCCATGCCCAGAAGTAGCGAGGACCACAGTTAGAGGGACCGTGTGATGACTTTTCTTTGCCTGACTGAGGGCTGTTCATTGACCAGAATGTGTGTTTAGCATCGTCCCCAGAAAGAGTTCTCTTGCCCCATGATTTCCTTTTCTTTATACCCAGCAATTAAATCCCAGAAGATTGTAATCAGGGAAGGCAGTCACTGAACAGATGAAAATGACTTTGTAATTAGAGCTATTGCTCAATGTGTAATCTATCTGTTCTTGTAATTATTAAGGTTTTTATTCTTATAAGCACATCGCCTCCCATTCTGAAACATCCTTAATCGTGTGCACATAGGGTGCAGGAAGCATGTAAACGCGGGAACGTGTTTGCTTTTGCGTCTTATAATAAAGCACGGCCCATGCTGGCCTGTGGCCGCTTCACACGTCTCGGAGGCCCACAGTCAGTCGACTCCAAGTGGACTGGGGCTGCCTTGTATCTTCTCAGCTTCACCGAGAGGGGAAAATCACATCCTGAGTTTTACATTAGCTTCCTGTTATGATGCATACAATGTCACGACTCTTTTTCTCTTTCCTTGACAGTAATTCCATCATCTAGAGATGATAAATTGCTCTGCCTGTGGCTCTTTAGCTTATTCACTTAGCTGGATATGCCCCTGCAGAGTGGTGTGGAAGGCGCTGCTGCTGGAATTCTCTGCAACCCGGAGAAGAAACCACCAAGGGGCCCGAGCACCTTGTGGTGCCTTGGTTGGCTCATCTGTCCAGGGTCTGCAATATCACATGCCCTGGAGAAGCCAGGGCTTTGTAATTTTTAGCTAATCACTGTGTTTTATTTTGTTTTTAATCAGGTTCAAAGTTAACAAGGATAGTTTCTTAAAATAATATCTGGAGCAGGTTTCTTATGCTTTTTCTTAGTAAATGTTAAACTTGCAATAATCTTCCATCAATAAGAACTAATATCCATAGCAAACCTTAGCATACAATGGCTGCCTGGGTTCCGAAAGTCTGTGGATCCAGTCGTGAGCGGCTGCAGAGCCTAGAACCATCAGTGACAAATGACAAATATATGCAATAAATACTTCTTGAGTGGATGGGTGAAATAATATTCTTTGGTGGAGGACAACAATAGTTAAACCAGGTTTTGAAAATGATAGCTAATAGTTGTGAAATAAACATTTATACCTGGAATTTTAACTTTCTTTAAATTTTCAGTCTTACTTTTGTATCTATTCAAGTACATATGAACCTTAATTGCTCTAATATATTTATAGGATATTAATTATGTGTTCTATCTTACGAGTCACTGAACTGTTGCACACAGTCTTGTCTAAGTTGCAAGTCCAGGACCAAGAATTCCTGGTCCTCTTGTGACTGCTGATGTAAGCTGAAAATGCACTGTGGAGGGAAAATCACTAGAGTGTTATAGTCTTAGAATCAGAGCCAGGGGGCTGGTGAGATGGCTCAGTGGTCTGAAGCACCTACTTAGAGCAAGCTTAGCAAAGCACAGGGACTGCGGTTCAATCCCCCAGCACCACATGCCAGCCAGTCCCGCCCCCGGTGGGCTGAGCTGGACACACATACACACACACACACACAAATAAATAAATAAATTTAAAAAAAAAAAGAATCAGAGCCAGTAACGTGGCCCTGGACTCCAGAGCATTTCATCTGAGACCTATCCCATGGGAATAGAACTCTGCAGGAACAGGAAGGGTTTCACACATGGACTGCGGATGGCCCTGCTCCCTAGACAGTGGGAAGCTTCCTCCGCACATGTTTCTGCTGGGCTGCTTCTGTCTCATCACTGTAGCGTATGCAAACTGGAAAGCGAGAAGCAGACTGCGCAAGGAGTGCTGCAGGCTTCCCGAACTTTCCGTGACCAGGGCGCAGCCTGCAGCGTCTGGTTTTGTGTTTGCTCTTGCAGCTCTACGTGGCCACGGAAGCCATCCTCATCGCGCTGGTCGGAGCCACACCATCGTACCACTGGGACTTGGCGGAGCTCCTGCCCAACCAAAGCCACAGCAACCAGTCGGTGGGCAGAGAGCAGGCCTTCGGGGACTGGCTCCTGACGGCCAACGGCAGCGAAATCCACAAGCACGTGCACTTCAGCAGTAGCTTCACCTCCATCGCCTCCGAGGTAACCCCGCCGGCCGCGCTCCCTGCTGAAGTGTTACTTCTCCTTGTCTGTGTAGGACCGTTTTCTCTTACTGGTTTAAATTTTTGCCACATTTCCTAATAACTGTCTTGTAAATTTAAGAGCTAAAGGTTTTCGTGTATTCCAGGAGACTATCCTATAAAAACATTCTTTTTGCTTCTTTCTACTCATGGAAGAAGTATGCATATTACCAAAGTAGTTAGATGGAATAAGATATACACTCCAAAAGAGTCCATGGTGTCCTTTTAAAGTCCAAAGAACCCCATAGTGTCCTTTTAAAAAGTACATTAAAATTTTCATCTCTCTTTATTATGTATGCAAATGTTAGCAAAGTCGAGCAAAGGAAATGGAATGACCCCCCTGGAAGGCCCGTGGTGCATTTTTAATCTAATCCTGTGAGAGGACCACCGGGCACCTTAACTATGTAGTGAAGACAAAAATGGTCCCCCTTCCTGCCTGGAAGGGGGCTTGGCCCTTGGGCCCTGCGATCCTGTTAATTAATAGGCTTGTACCTGAAGGAGCGGCGAATGCCGGGAGCCTTGCCAGCCCCGTTCTCATTGCTGCGCTAGTCAGCTTTCTCTCCCCAGATCTCTCCAATCACTGCCCTGCAGGGTGCCGGAGTGCCTGCTGAGCCCAGCGCCTCGCCTTCTGCATAGGTCCGGGCCTGGAGCGCAGCCTTCTCCGTGTGTGTGTGTGTGTGTGTGTGTGTGTGTGTGTGTGTGCACGTGCCTGCACTACGGCTCCCAACAGCCTTCACTGTCCTCATCACGCTGAGAGGACAGTCGTTGCTCTCCTATGAGTAGGGCTCACTGCAAGCAGAGACCACCAGCTGAGGGGGGATTTGCTGGGCCTTTTCCAGGGAAGGCCTGGGTTGAAAGGCTTTTACTTCTCAAGCAAGTACAAAGCATTTCTAATCAGAACCCGGCCGTGTCTCCTGTGTTCACCAGAAACCTCCAGGGATTCCTCCTCGCTGCGTACAGGACACAGCAGAGACCCCGAGGCTCTTCACGAGTCACAGCTCGGTGGTCCTGGCATTCCAGGTTTGTGAGCGTCACACGAGGTGTGATGCAAATACAGTCGGTAGCGCTGCAGGTGCCATCCAATAGAAAGGCTTGCAAAAATAGGATGTCTTTATTACCTTGTCCCCCTTGTCACCTTATCCCCCTTATCACCTTAGCCTCCTTATCACCTTATCCTCCTTATCACCTTATCCTCCTTATCATCACCTTCTCCACCATGCAACTTCTGGCTGTTGGTCTAAGTCAAAACGGACAGGCAACATACACATTTTGAAACAATTCAGGGCATCTGGACAGTCCATGAGGGCACAACTAAACACACAAGAGAGAACTTCTAGAAGTGCTTCAGAAGGTGGCAAGAGGGCTGGGGTCATTGTGCCCTAAGTGAGGGCTCTGTTGTGGGGGATACGTGGCAAGGTATGACGTACCTATTTATTTTATTAGTGTCCATTTGCAGCACGTAGTGGTTGCATTTCTCATGTGGAATTGGCACGTGTGCATCATGCCTCTGATTCTTTTTTCGTCCCCTATTTCCCCCTCCCTCCGGGTCTTGGTCCCCCTCTCATTTTTCCCTTCAGTCCTCTTTCTTCCAGCCCTTCTCCCTCTCTTCCCTCCCCGCTCCCTCTATTTCTTTTTTTTTTTTTTTTTTTTTTGGGGGGTTGTGGGGGGGGCAGCTCAGCCCACCAGGGGGCGGGGCTGGCTGGCATGTGGTGCTGGGGGATTGAACCGCGGTCCCTGTGCTTTGCTAAGCTTGTTCCAAGTAGGTGCTTTAGACCACTGAGCCATCTCACCAGCCCCCTCCCTCTATTTCTTATTCCCCAACTCTTACAGAAAAATCTTCCTACTTCCTACCTTCCTATTCATCTGTCTTCTGTCTGAAAGATGACACATATAAGAAACCTTGCAGTATTTAAACTTGTTCTTTTTTTTATATTTTAGGGAAGGGTCCTCAGGGTGTTCAGGGTCTTACTAGTAGATCTGACTCATAGTGATCTGCCTGTTTACAGCCTCCCAAGAGCTGGGATTACAGGCATGCGCCATCACAACCAGTCTGCAGTATTAAACGTGTGTGTCTTTTATCACTTAATCTTATGCTCTTACACTGCATCCATTTACGCATGAATGCCTCATGTATCTTTCTTTATGGCAAAGTATTACTCCATCGTACAGTTCCTTTGTCTGTGCATCTGTTGATGATCCTATAGGTTGCCTCAAAGCTTTAGCTACAGTGTATTTTTTTTATTTATTTGGGGGGGGGCAGCTCAGTCCACCAGGGGGCGGGGCTGGCTGGCATGTGGTGCTGGGGGATTGAACCGCGGTCCCTGTGCTTTGCTAAGCTTGTTCCAAGTAGGTGCTTTAGACCATTGAGCCATCTCACCAGCCCCAGCTACAGTGTATTATAATTGTGCTGCTATAAACATGGGTCTGCATGGATCCCTGTCACTTTGTGGGAGACAGTGATGTACCTCTTACTGTGATAATTTTTGAAAATTTGAATATTCACCATAGTTTTATATCACCTCTTACATACGTCAGGCCGTGTGACATTTCACGGCTCTTACCTCATCACTTCATGCTCAGAATAACACTGTGTGATGGGCATTAATTTTTCCATTTTATTCACTGAAGAAATTACTATCTGAGGTCAAGATTAGCTAATAAGGACAACGTTGGTCTTTGAACCCAAATGAACTGAGATGTCTGTGCTCTTAATTTATTGTACTTTTTGAAATTATTAATCCAAATAGGTATGCTACACATCAGATTTTTTTTTATTGGTAACAGTTTAATATCCCTATTGCAAATAGTTTCAAACTGACCAAAAATTTCAAGAACTGTACAGAGAGCACCTCTGTCTCTCCTACTCTCCTCTGTTACAATATTCCGCTTCGGTGGCACTGTTGTCACTGTTGTCTCTTTATTTCTTTCTTCACCATTTTAAAGTTGCATGGAACAGTGTCCTTTCACCCCCACTTTACACTTAACTTCCACGAGTATTTCCTGAAAATGAAGACAGTCTCACACGGTACCTTAGGTAGCACGGTAAGGGACTTTACACGATTCTAGAGTTTAAACTATACCAATTTTGGCACACCATCCATTTGCAGTTTTGTTGCTTGACCTAATATTATCTTTCAGAGAGCTGTGTTATCTTGTAGCCATATTGGCTCTCGTCGAAAATCAGGCAATACCTGTCGTTGTCTTTCCAGGTATCCTTTGACCTTCAGCTTTCCTTTTATGATGCTGATGGGTTTACAGGTTATAGATCCCTGCCTCTTTAAAAAATAACGACTTTTTTTTTTTGGTGGAACCGGGGATTGAACTCAGTCCTTTGCACTTGCCAGGGAAGCACTTATTCCACTGAGCCATCTCTTGGAACAAGCTTGGCAAAGCACGGGGACCACGGTTCAATCCCCCAGCACCACATGCCAGCCAGCCGCGCCCCCTGGTGGGCTGAGCTGGCCACACACACACACGCACACACACACACACACACTAAATAAATAAATGTTAAAAAAATAAAATAAAATAAAATAAAATGTACCAATAAAATTATTTAAAAAAAAATGACTTTTATTTTAGGTCTGGCTGAAGGCTTTTCACCTGATTTGGTTGTGTACCTCGGGTGAGGACAGTGGGTTGTGCACGCTGTGTCAGGGCGTCACATCTGGACATGTGCAGCATCCATCGGCCTCCCCCACTGTGTGGTGTTCCAGGAACGCAGGGCCCTTGTGCTGATCTCTATCCCTGGCCCTCTGCCTTTTTTTTAAAAAAGCAGGGTCTTTTTAAGTCACTGAGCTGCTGAAGCTGGCCTTGCCTTTTGCGGTTACCTCTGTCGCTCAGAGTGTGGGGATCATAGGCGTGCACAACCCCACCTGGCCCATCTGTACCCTTTTTTGACTACTGTTGTTTCCTTTTAAGGAGTAAGAAATCAAATCAATAGGGAATCACTTTGAGCTGTGTAAGTGTGCTGGTCCTCATCAGATCTGTAGCCCTGACTTAGTGTCCCTTGATGATTCTTGAGGGACCCAAGCTACGTGATGACAGCTGCGCGGTTATTACGGCAGCATTTCTCCACATGAGCAGCCTGCTTTGCGCCTTCCCTTCAAGCAAGAGCTCTGTCTTCTGCCTTCTGTGTCTCCTGACCTGCACTAAATCTAAGTATGTACTCATAGATTTCTGTGCTTTTCAATGACTTACAAGTTTTTATACCCTAATTATTTTGTCATTCAGCTATGCTGTTTACCAGTGGGAACTTTTAAAGCTGGCTTTTGTGTTTTTTAAAAAATTTCAATTGAAATTTTTATTTTAAAATAATTATAGGCTGAGCATGGTAGCACACACCTGTAACCCCAGCACTTGGGAGGCTGAGGCAGGGGGATTGCTGCAAGTTTGAGGCCAGCCTCAAACTTGTGAGCTCAGGCCTAGCCTGAATTACACAGCGAGACCCTGCCTAAAAAAATAAATAGGTAAATGATGAAATAATTGTAGACTTACCTCCAGTTGCAAGAAATACTGCAAAGCCAAGTATAGTGGTGCATGCCTAATCCCAGCAACTTGGGAGGCAGACGCAGGAGGATTGCTGTAAGTTCTAGGCTAGCCTGGGCTGTGAGTTCAAGGCCACCCTGCACTGCGTAGTGAGGCCCCGTCTGAAAAAGAAAGGAAGAAAGACAGACTTACTGACTACAAAGAAATCCTTTACCAGGTTTCCCAAACCAGACAAGAATATCGTAGCGAAGATGCTGATGTTGGTACGGCTCACACACAGCACTTGTACCCCCAAGAGCAACCTCTAGCTGGGCTTCTGGAGTGGTACCGCCCCCCTTTCACCCTTTTCTTAGGTCCTCATGACTACTAATCTTACATTTTATCATTTGAAGAATAATATAAAGGTGAATCATATTGCTAGAACTCTTGAGGATTAGCTTTTTGTACTCAACATAATTCTCTGCAAGTTCGTCC